CCGATCACCCCAAAACCCCAAAACCCCAAAACCCCATTTTAAAATATATGATTGATATTTTCAAAAATTAGTTCATAAATATTGAAGATATTAGAGTCCATGCATTGTAAGAGCTACATTCTTTTAGAACTTCTCTGGAGGTTCTCCTTACTCTTAACCAACTACTGGGCTTCCTTGTGGCTGATGTAGCTCTTATCAGCAAATAGTTTTGATCCTCCATACATACCTGCAGGCTTTGCTTGGTTTATTTCAGCAACACCGTTCACCAAGCCTAATTTTTGGATCTTCAAGTCCTTCACCAGGTTTTGGTCTTGACTAGAGTTGTAAGAAGGTATCATTACCTGCGGTTGCTAGGAAGTTTCTTATAGAGTGCCAAACAAGGTCTCAGCATGCTCTGTAATGTGCTTTATCAATCTTATAGTAAGCTTCATCTTCATTTGCCATCCAGAATACTACCATTCCATCACCTCCTCCACTGACAAAGAGCTCTTCGCAGTCTGGATGCCATTCAAGTGCATTAATTTCATCTTCATGAGCCTGGAAAGTTATGAAATCTTTCATGACCCTGACATCGTAGATCTTGGTCGAGGTATCTTTAGACCCACTCAGGCACCAATTACCGTTCTTATTCCAGCGAACCTTGTTAATAGCATTATAATGTGACTGAATTGTGTATACCTCATTCCCTGATTTAGGATCCCAAAACTTAATTTCAGGGTCTCTACCAGCAGACACTATCATGGACTCATATGGATGCCAAGCACATGTCTTGACGTCTGAACGATGGCCTTCGAATTGGAGTTCGGGCTTGAAAGTTCCGAAGTCAAATATCTTCACAATTCTGTCATCACTTCAAGAGGCTAATTTACCGTATGAAGAAGAGAAATCAAGGTCTCTCACTTGACTTGTATGAGCCTGATGCTTCGCAATCGTGTTTAGATCGGCTGTCCAATAGTGAATTCAGCCTAAAATTGATCAGAGGTTAAGATTTATCCTTTTTATCTGCAGGTATAAGCCATTCATGGTACTTGGCCCATTTCATGACCTTAATACTGTCTTCATGAAGAGAATTAACGGTGGCGAAATTCAGTGTGACTCCATTCCAAACATGGATTTCCCCATTTGTATGTCCTATGATAAGCTTTCTTCCATGCTGCATCCATTTTATAGCAAATACAGGATGCTTTGAAGTTGAGGAAGGCTCTCCAACAAGCTTTGGGCAAGCCAACTCACTAGCAGATTCTGTGTTTAGATATGCAGGATAGGTATACTGGGAGTACTCAGGAAGAAGATCATGTGTAAACTCTTGTGACAAATCATCCTCTCCAAAGTCATAGACACTATATTTCCAAAATTAGTACTTAAATGTGGATATTTAACAGATAATAGAGATTTCATGAAAACTTATATGTTCTAAGAGTGCCGAAATGCCGACCATCTAACTCGGCAGCTTCCATATCATGTTCTTTCCTTTTGATCTTCTCACTATGTGTCAACTTGGAACGTTTAATAAGGGTTTGAATTTTAGGAGTCCGTTTTATGGGGTTATATTGCTTCAATGCCCTCTAATATCTCTTTCAACTACGAAAGTATGATTTACAAGGACATATTTTGAATATCTACCTTTGTGGCTATCATTGGAAGAACCGCAACCCTTTTTCTATTTTAATTGAGACAGAAAGAGTTTCAATATTTAAATTGGATTTGGGGTTTTGGGGTTTTGGGGTTTTGGGGTTTTGGGGTTTTGGGG